CTCTTAAAGTTAACTCACTCCTCTTGAGGCAGGGCCAGTTTCTGTGCAACCCCAAGGCAATCAGCATCACAGTGTTTTATTCACAGAGGACTCAATACGTACTTATTTCATTGGTTTCAGGAAGAAGTCTGATGCGTGGTTCTCTGTAAGGGAGGGGAAGGAATCTAAAGAATAGCATTGAGTCTCTATCTCTAGCCCATATTGGCTTTAGACCTGTAAATTCCATCGCTCACTGTGATGTGCTTTAACCCCCTAACACACATCATCATTTCTCCTTTAAATTCTACCAAATCAATGAAGGAAGCCACCAACTAGCCAGAGGGCCAACCAACCAGAAACCTAAACATCTCCTTGACTCTTCAAATTATCACCAAGAACTTTCCATTGTACTCTGTACAAAACTCTTAAATGTCCACAACTCCCCAGCCTTCCCACAATAAGGAAAGGAGCTATCACTGCTGAATGGAGCTCCTGAATTTCACTCCATGCCAATGATTTTCTAAGCCACGAAACATCCACTTCTCTTCATAAAATTCTGGCCTCCTAAGATGAAATTTAAACTCCTCCCTGAGTCTACGGAACCAGGCCCCGGGCTCTCTGATCACGACTCATCTTCTCCTCACAGGACACCATCTCCATTCTACCCAGGCTGGACTTCATTCAGTTCCTCAGATAAAGCACACCCACATTTCTGACCTCTGGGTCTTTATGCTCTCTCTCACTCTTCCCTCTCCTACCTCTCCCCCTTTCTTGATCCCCCAAATCCCAAAACTTACTTAAATCTCTCTACATCATCGATACACCTATCCTACATTTTACCACTTCCATACTGCATCTGCTTGCCCTGCTTCTGTATCTGAATTCTACAGGAAACTGGAAGGTCTATGTGGGAGCTGGGACTATGTACACTTTTGGGGCTGACATTTATTAAACAGGTCATATGAGGTGGATACTTTTCTAACATTTTCAACAAAACCAGGAGGTGGGGTCTAGTCTACTTTTTATCCCTATTGATAGAAAGGAAACGGAAACACAGAGAGATTAAGTACCTTATCGAATAGTACCCAGTGAATATGTTGAGTTGAAATTCCAACTCGAGTTTTCTGGAGATAGCAACTGCAACCCTGGAAGCGATGTTTCAGTTCGTTTTATTATTTGGTATTACATATCCAATATTTGGTTCACAGAGATGTAATAGATGTTCAGGATAGATTTGTTGCATTATAAATAAATGACAGTGAAAATTTCTACCACGTGTTGAAGATGTGGCTCAACAAAATAGGATTGCTGTTCTGTGAGAGTGTATAGCCAGAAGAGCTAACCACAGCTATAATAAAAACTAAAGGAAAATACATTAAGCTTCTTTTTAATCTATAAGTTAAACAAAACAAAAAAACTTGTGAGTGAATTGCAGCTAATAGCATTTCTGTGGGACAGGATAGAATTACTCCATAGGGTTTAGCAGGCTGGAAATCTTTAGGAAAGCAGACTAATGCTTTTTTAGTGGACTAGTTAGCTGATGGGAGGGAGCCCTGATTGCATTATGGGTCACACATTTGGCTGCTAATTGCAAGGTCAGCAGTTTGAAACCACTAAGCACTGTATAGGAGAAAGATGAAGCTTTCTACTTCCATAAAAAGTTACAGTCTTAGAAACCCATAGGGGAAGTACTCCCTTGTCCACCGGGTTGCTGTGAGTCACAAGTGACTTCATGGCAGTGAATTTTTTGGAGCTGATGAGAACAAATCACTGACCTTTAGTTATCAGCCCTCTGCTAAATCCACTGTGGCCACCAGGGTTCCAGAACTAGGAAGCCACACAAGAATCAGATACGTGGGATGGGGGCAAAGAGGACAAATTGAACTAAGCAGGCATCTGGCAAGGACTCAAAAGTAGGATGTGTTTGAACATCGGTGTCTCATTGTTTCCCAAAGACAAGGCCACCTGTGGGAGGCATTTCTCTGCCATATTCAGGGTCTGCTTACTGTGTGGAAATGCAGAACAGAAAACTTCTGGTAAATGAAAAATATAATACAATCACAAATACCCTGTGCAAATTCACACTCATTAAGCATATTGTGGAGAAAATAGAATTTACAAGTCAGTTGAGCATCTGAAAATGAAGACCACATCCAGGCAGCAGAGCCATTCAGAGAAATTTTCAGGGCGCAGAAAATTAGCCTAGAAGAATGGTTTTTGTTTTGTTTTAAACAACTGGAAAGCAGCTTACAGGCAATACATCTAATACAGTGAATAACCGTAATATGAAGGGCTTCAAAAATTTCAGGGAAATATGAAATTAAAAGGGAATTGTTTTTCTGTTAACTTTTTGAAACCTCCTCTTACAGTAATCAGATCACAAGGACACTTAATTCAAAGGTAAAATTGGAAGTCCTGTAAAGACCAGAATAAACTTTTAGTTTTTCGACTTCTTCTCCTCTTCTTATCTTTTTCTGTATTCTTATACAACTACATAGAACACTGCATTCAACATTCAACATTCTTCACTTGTCCATTGAGGTGACCTTGATTGATACAAGAACCATAAAAAAAAAGTGAAAATAACACACAGAGTCACTGTACCAAAAAGAACTAGTAGACGTTTCACTATTTCAGAAGCTAGCATATGAACTTGAACCAGTGGTACTGAAGCAAGAAGTTCAAGGTGCTTTGGAAGCACTAGCCAAAAACAAAGTTCTGGGTGTTGACAGAACACCAATTGAAATGTTTCAACAGGCTGATGAAGTACAGGAAGCACTCACTCCTCTATGCGTGGAAATTAGGAAGACAGTTGTATGGCTAAATGACCAGAATATATGCATATTTGTACCTGTTCCAAGTACAGCTGACCCAGCCAAAGGCTAAAAGTACTGAATGGTATCATTAATATTGCATGCATGCAGGAAAAATTGTGTTAAACATCATGCATCAATGGTTGCACCAACATATTGAAGGAGACCTGCCAGAGAGTTAGGCCAGATTCAAAAGGGGACATGGAATAATGGATATCATTACTGATGTTCGATGGATCTTGGCTGAAAGCAGAAAATACCAGAAAGATATTTACCTGTGTTTTATTGACTCTGTACAAAATGTGTACGTGAATCAAGAGACAGTTGTGTGACCAGAACAAGGAAGCACTGCATGGTTTACAAGCAGGAAATGTGCGCATCGAGTTTTTATAGTCGTATAATATTATTCAATCTGTATGCTGAGCAAATCATCAGAGAAGCTGTATTATATGAAGAAGATGTGGCATTTGAATTTGAGGAAGGCTTATTAACAGCCTGCGATATGCTGACCACCTCAACCTAGTGTGTTAAAAGTAAGAAGGACTGAAGCACTTGCCTTTAGTGTGGATGACAACTCAGTGTAAGGAAGACCAAAATCCTCACAACTGAACCAACACATCACATCATGATAAAGGGAGAAAAGGTTGAAGTTGTCAAGAATTTTATGTTGCTTGGATCCGCAATCAATGCTCATGAAAGCAGCAGCCAAGAGTTCAAAAGACAAGTTGCATTGGGTAAATCTACTGAACAAAACCTCTTTAGAGTGTTGAAAAACAAGGGTGTTACTTTGAAGAGTAATGTGCATGGGACACAAGCCATGGTAGTCTCAATTGCCTATGTGCATGCAGAAGTTGGTTTAGGAAGGCTGAAGAATGGATGCATTTGAATTGTGGTGCTGGTGAAGGATATTAAAAGAACAAATGGCCCTGTCTTGGAAGAAGTACAAGCAGAGTGCTCCTTAGACGCAAGGGTGGCAATAATTCATCTTACGTGCTTTGCATGTGTTGTCAGAAGAGACCAATCTCCGAAGAAAGACATCTTGGTAAAGTAGAAGGGCAACGAAACGGTGGAAGGCCCTCACGGGGATGGATTGACACAGTGGCTGCAATAATGGGCTCAAGCATAGGAGCAATTGTGAGGCTGGTGCAGGACCAGTTAGGGTTTGTTTTGTGGTGTATACAGTTGCTGTGGTTTCAACCAATGATGGCACCTACCAACAACAATTAGGTGATGCTAGTTACATCTAACATGTACAGCTATCACCAATATCCTTTGCCCAAACTCAGTGCTTCCCAAACAAAGACTCGCTCTTTTCTCCTCCTTCCTGAAGCAAATGTGATGTAAACATATTTATATACCTACATATATGCATGAAATATTACTCAGGCATAAATATAAATGGACTCCTGATACATACTATCACGTGGATGAACCTTGAAGACATCATGCTGCATGAAGTCAATCACAGAAGGATGAATGTTATTTCACTCGTATGAAATGCCTTGAGTTGACAATGCACAGAGGCCACAGTCTAGTAATATGCATAGTTAACTGGTCTTTATGCTCCTTCTGTTTAGAATGTCCCGTCAGTTACTGCAGAAATGGTGGAACTTGTCAAGTGGAGAAAAACGGTCCTACGTGTCGGTAAGAATGATTTTCTACTTTTAAAAATTATTATTGTAGTCAGTGAATACGTAGCACAAACAATAGATAATGACGCTACTGTGTGCAGTTGTTTGATTAAGGAAAAAAGATGTAAGTATTTTTCAGAAAAATCTCAATTGTGTAATATGATTTTGTATGTCTTTCAACATTTTATAATGTATGGGATAAATAGCCTTTATAATACTCACTATTCCTTTTTTAAAATATTCATATCATATTTTAAAGAGACTTTATAATATGGTTGTCCAACTTCATGTGAACTTAGTGTCTGTATTTTCTGTGTTTATTTCAAATTCCATTTTTAGCTTTCATAGAAACAAGCAGTGATTCATAAATAAAACTCTTTACTGGTCTCATGAAATGGATATTTGTGAATAGTTGAAGTTAAGATACAGATAAAGAATATATTTGCATACTCAAAATAAGAATAAACAAAAATGATCCATGTAATAATTTCTTTGGGGAATTATTTATATTGCATATCAAAGATAGTTTGAATTTTTCTCACCTTTTAGAAAATTGTGCAAAACATTTTCTTTACTCCAAAGGAAAGAAGCAAATCCTATTATTTTTTATGTATGACTTCTTAATTTAACAGACCCATGTATATAATTTTGCTTATTAGAGAAATGATTACAAGTTGATACTCAAGTTCTAACAAAACACACAAAAGTATCTGGTAAATAGTTGTTAAAATTCTTTTATCCTTTTGAGTCAATGCATATTTTATGACAGCAGTTTATTCCTAAAAAGAAAAATTAAAATACCAGCAAGCATGTCATAGTAAGATATATTTAGAGACTGCTTTAACTTTGGTGAAACAGAATAACTAATGAGTTTCCAAAGGTTTGTTTTTTGTCTTTTTTTCCCCCAAAATGCATTACATAATTTATTTCACATCATCTCCATAGAATTATAACTTTCTCTACATCACTTTCCATGAAAATTAATTTATCAGAAACTATTAATTGATGGGAAGAAACATCAGGTTAATTTGTGAAAACACTGGAAACAAATTAAGAACAATATCATAAATAATGCTTATTAAATGTCAGCTGAATGCATACTGATATTAAGCATCAACTATTTACAATAAGAAGGTTTGAATTTTTGCCATCCCTAACCCTGATTCTTCTGCCAGAAAGCTGCCAGCCTTTAAAGATAGCCTTGGCTGAGCAAGCAGAGAGCTTACAATTCCTTGGCAACCACCTCACCAACTTCAATATGTTTCCGAAGTGAAATCCTGAAATTGAAGTCCTCAAAGTTGCTTTCCCTAATGAGACAACGCTTCGGTGGGGCAGGTGGGATGGCAGGGTTGACATGAGAACAGAAAGAACAAGGAGACTGATGGGAGGAAACATAGGAAGGCATTAGCTATGGCACATTTGGAAATAATATGGGGGAAAAATCATATTTGAATGTTTTTTGTATTATCATATGACAGCTTCAAATGTAAATATTGCTTCAAAATGGTGGACTAAAAGTCTGCTTGTGTGTATTGTAAGGGATTTTTTAAAAATGAGACAGTAGTGTTCTTGCTACATGAGATCAAGTCAGTTCTGGCTCACAGTGACCCCACAAACAACATAACGAAATGCTACCCAGTCTTGAGCTGTCCTCCCAATAATGCCTATGTTTGAATCTATTGTTGTAGCCACTTTGTCAATCCATCACTTAGAGGGCCTTCCGCGTTTTCACTGCGCTCTACTCTAACAAGCTTGCTGTTCTTCCCCAAGGACTGGCCTCTCTGGATAACAGGTCCAGAGCATGTGATGTACATTGTTTTTTTTTCCGCAGAAAAGTTAACCCTACACCATTTATTACTTTGCATCTTGTTTTTCCTCTTGACTAACCTCATGGCTATTCTCCCATGTTCGTACATTGACTGTAGCTCCACCATTTACTGACTGTGTAAGACGTGGGCAATTCCCTTACCCTTCCTGTTGTTCAGGCCTTTTTTCTGGAATGCAAATCACAATAGCACTTATCTCAGAAGGTTGTTGTGAGGCTTTGACTGATTCTAGTTCAATTATCTGTACTCTTTTTGGATTTAAGGTTAAATTTTCTGATACAAAATTTTAGAAAACTAAAAGAGGAAGGTGGCAGAAGGTTGTAGAAACTTGTCACTTTACCTCAAGCCAGACACTATTTTCAAATCCCTCTCTGAGTGAGAAATTTGTGGAGCTGGGAAGATGAGTCTGAGTCATGAAGGCATATAAGTTCTCCAGAACAGATCATAGGACTGGATGTTATTGGTTTTGTCAACTATGGGTAGCCAATGACCACGGACACAAGACCAAAGCCTACCCCTTATCGGGGCCATTTGTGGGCATAAGAATTTCATGGTTTCTCCAGGATGGGTAGGGTGTGTCATCAGAGCCTTTAGATTGCCTCTTTGCATCTAGGGTACCTTGATCAAGGACTTCCAAGTAGTATGTGTAACTATAGAGTCTTCATAAGAATGCCATTGGGTTTCTGGGGTCTTATGCTTATTCCAAAGAACATAAAATATTATGTAGATTGGTTTGTTATTGCTTGTAACCTACCAACAGACTGATATGCTGGAGGGCCGAGAGGCAAATCCATGAACTAAGAGAGGAAAACTATCCCTCCCCTAAGGCTGCTTCAGTGTTATTTGATGTCAATATGTCCATTAGGAAAGTAGGTAAACCGTAACAGCCTGGACTGTAATATGAGTGGAAATGATGTGTGAGAAAGCAGAGAAAGGTAATCAAGTCAGCAGAGGTAAAGAAGGAGAGCAGTAGAAGGCAACAGCTCATTGAAATACCTTGAATTTTTAAGGATAAGGAAGACAGTTTCTTTGAAATTGTTTAATTTTTATTTAATTTAAGTTAAAAAGGACTACAGAATTTAAGATAAAATTCTTTTGGAATACATTCTTTGGACAAAACTTTCTACCTTATTACTGTAAAAATAAGTTCATAATTTCAAAGTATGTTTTATGACCGGGACCCAGAACATACTTCACATTATACTAGCTATTTGAATAGTACACTACCATCCTGAACTCCCAATTAACAATGTGATTTCTACATAAATTTGGTGTAAAACGACGAAGTCAGTCTTTTATTTCATTTGTACATTAGCTTTTTCCTGTTGTCTGTGGTTTATCTCAAATGACTGATTACTCTAAGGAATGCCTACCTCCTCAGTGGATTTCCCCCGCCCCCTAAGGACCTGCCTATTGTTTGCCAGGGGTGAGTTCAGTTCCAGAAGGAAAGGTGACTAAGTTCTACCGTCTCAGAAGTTCCACTAGTTTCTATTTAACCCGTAAGCCTTTTCTTTTTGTGATGCTGAGCTTTGTTCCACATCTTTTAATCTTACTCTATCCAAGAACTTCTAATGCGATTTCTTTTAGAAGAGTAGGTAGTGGCAAGTGGGCACTAGCTAGTTCTCCCAGTCACAGGTCATGAATGCTGATACATGTCTTCATCCATTAGCCCACTGACTAATGATGTCCATGCGTCTCTGCTTTTCTTCATTCTGTGTTACTCTGAATGAGGAGAGGCCAATAGTTGCCTCTTAGATGGCTGTTCACAGATGTTTGAGACTCAGTGTCTACTCACCGAAATAAGACATATTGAGAACATTGTCTTTGTAGATTGCATTGCGCCATTTGTTCTTGGTGTTCCCAGAGACTATCTGAGCCCTCCGGTCCAGTGACTCTCTCTAGGGGTTGGTTACAGGTAAGATGTTTTCACAACTTTGTTGCCTGTACACTTTTTGTATTGGCAGCCTTCTCTTGAGTGAGCATGCGTCTACCATCTAGCCAGTAATTTACCCTCCTTTGCCCTCCTATTTATGGTTTCTTTTATTGTGAAACATTTCCTTATGTTTTATAATAGTGGTCTCATCCTATCCTTGTCTTTGTGTGATTGACTTATTGCACTCAGTAGGACCGCCATTCAGCTGTGCGAAGAGTTATTCCACAGATACACTGTGATTCTTCAATGGTGCATAGCATAAGGTTGTGTATATGTGCCATAGATTGTGTCCCCATCCTTCCATCAATGGGGACTTAGGTTGTTTCATCTTTTTGTTACTATTAACAGGGTTGGGATGAGCATAGGTGTGCATATATCTACTTCCCCAGTAAAGGGATTGTTCGGCATATGGTAATTCTATTTCAAACTTTCTTTTTTTTTTATTGTATAATGATCAGAAGAAATTGTCTTTATTAAACCAAAGAGTAAGCAAACATACCTTTTGCTCAGAAAGGAGACACTCTACCTTCTAAGGCTATTCACTGTAGAATTATTCTTGAAAGGATACAAAGAAATGCCTCCCTTTGCAAGACTTGCAGAAATGTGAGAAGCATGTAGAGAATTTTCTCCTCTGTGTGTTTTTATTCAAGAAAAGGAGAATGGAAAGTTTGGGCATGAAATAAATAAACATTTTATTCAAGGATGTATTTAACACTTTGCAGTTATAGAAGTGGACAATGTTCCATTAGCCAAGAATGTTCAGGAAGTCTCAAAAGACAGTAGTTCAGTAGGGATGTCAAAGGGGACTATCTAATAATGTAGAATTACTCTTCAGCTCTACATTCATCATTATGAATGCACTACTATTGTGATCTAAGATAATATCAAAGTCAATTAATAGTTTTTCAGGCTAACATTGAGGTTCCCTAGTCTAAAAACAGTACAAAATGTTCCTAAGGATTACATTATCAATAATAATCCCAGGTCCCCCAAATACTCAGGTCACTGTAAATGAAAATATAAATGAGTGACATATATTCTATCTCTTTAAAACTTGAATACGAAATAAAAAATGTTATTTGGTTTGTGGCAAAAGTCATCAACTATCTAGGATTGATATATTCTGTTGTGCTCATTGATGGCTAGTTGTGGGGAGAAGAGGGTCCCCAACAAATCATCACAGGTCTGATAGGCGTAATTGTACAACGATAATAAGTGAAAATTATAATAAAATCATAGAGAGCATGAGAGATA